GATATAAATGTGGTGACATACGCCAGTGGACTGGGCAGCAACACGACCAACAGCCGCGGCGGCGATGATGGATACGATGGAAAAGGACTTCATGTTGGCGATGATGATGTTATCGTAATATCCTAGGTTGCTGAGGAACGGGATAAAACTGGTTGGAGTGCGGCGAGCGTTGATCAAGGGCGAGCTTGTGAAGTTGGGGGTGAAGTGAAGGGTAAGAGGGGTTGGGAGAGCTTCTTAAAGGAATAAGAGACCGTGGGGATGCCCAGGCCAAGTGATGATCCAACTGGGGAGGTAATGAGCGTAGGTTGGGTTTGGAAAGCTAATAGAGATCTGCAAACGGCAAGAAGGTATTGGGTTGCGACTCTTTATGGCCCACACACACGCACTCACACTCACACGAGAGAGACTCGAGAGAGAGATGTGATGAGGATGGGACCAACGACAGCCCCCAATGTCACGGTAGCTTGGCACCCTACAGTAAGGTATGTATGCGGTATGCCAACGGCAGGGTGAATGAACACACCCCGGTTGCGCTAGCTCCAGATTAATCAAAGAAAGGAACGAGAGTCAAGAGGAGGCCACAACATCGGATGCTTTGAGCCATGATGGATTCCGTACCACCGGGGGAGGGGAGGGATGGAAGGGGATGGAGAAACGGCACCTAGCCGTCGGCGCATCTAGGCGAAGGAGGAGAATGTTTCTCTCGCAAGGTACGTATCGAAGCTTTGCGCTGCTGGGGTGGACCTTGTGCGCCCTGTGCTACGAGAGAAGAGATGATGGAAGGGCAAGCTGCAAGCTGCAAGAGGGAATACCTAGGGCCAGGGGTTGGGGAAGGGGGGCCGTCAAAGAGGCAAGGCAGGCAAATGAGTTTGCGGGCGGTAGAAGGGACCGTCTTGCTCTTTTGTGAGTCGTGACGGGCAAAGGAAAGTTCAACTCAATGACAAGGAGACAGGCCATTGCCTCAATAGCCGACGGAGTTTACCTTACTGGTACGGAGTACGGATACTTCGGTACGGGAAGCGGAAGCGAACACCACCTCCTCAGGAGTGAATCCGTAGTCAGTATCTGTATGAACAGTAAAGTACTCTGTCCCTGTCCTACGCCTACCTAGAGAACTCCATGACAAGCACCAACCTCGGGACTTTTGATGGTGTACCTAGCTGTAAGGGCTGGCAGGGGCGGCAAGGCGAGGAAAGGAAACACACAGAGATGGCCGGAATCCCTGTAGGCATCTTGCCCGATTTGGCAACTCGCTTGCTGGGATATGGTGCGGGAACAGCAGCGGAGGGTAAGACAGACGATGAGCTCGCGCCAGGAGCAACCGGAGGGATGGGCAGAAGGGAAATCCGTTGGCTGCCACAGGGCAGACGAGACTAGGGTAGGGAACTCTGGGTTCTGGGCTACATTGCATGGAACAGAGAAAAACAAATAGGCGGTTGGTGATGTCTGACTTTGTTTTCCCATGCACTGCGCCACCTGGGAAACCCATCTTGCCCCCTGCCAATCAGAAATAGATTGCACGCTCCAAAGAAACGTGCCAACGGCGAACACAAGTTCGGGGGCTTTTGAGGAGGCATCACACAGCACACAGATGCATGTTGTTGCTGAACATGCAGATAACCGCTGAAAGAGCAGCGCAAGGCTGACGATTTGGTGGCTATGGGGAGTGGCAAGACAGCGAAACAGTGTCACTACATGTCAGATTCCAACCAGACAGCAGTCCAAGAATTGCGGTATAAACATAGACAGAGGCAGAAGCGGCGGTTACCCAGCCTGCCTCCTGACACAGTCCCGATACAGTCCGCTTTATTGCCGGTTTGACCGATGGAAATGAGCCTCTAGTCTCCACGATGCTCTTTGAACGGTGGTAGACTTGATCCTTGACCACAGCAAAATTTCCGCATCGAACTTGCGGGCGCATGTGCGTGTGACGCGCTACTCGGTGTTGGTGGGATGAGATGCCCATGATGACGATGTTAATGATTGTGATATTGGTTTTGGGGGGTGTTGGGAATGGCAGTTGAGATTAAGGTGGTGGAGACGGAATGGCATCCCGGGGGGCCTCGCTTCAGGCCGCCATACGCTGTGGGCCAGTGAACAGTCGGTGTTTCTCAGCGTGCCCGTTGAACAAGCACCTTGTCCCGTCATAGACATCCTAGCTCGCATCCCCGACCCTACCAAACTCCCAGCTGAGAGCTCCCAATGCGAGTTATGAATGACATATGTGAGCCCGGATGCTCTTCCAGATGTCTGTCTGCTGCATCCAAGCGCGCTGTCTCCTTCGCTCAGATGAGTCCATCCGTCCCTCACTCTTACCGCATGATATCCGCTGGGCGCGTTTTGAAAGACAACGGCTTCTTCTGCGAGGTCCCGTATTCGCCTGTCCGTCCCTTGCCCTAGGACCTTGATACAGACTGCTCCCGGTGTGACGGGGGCTAGGTAATTAACGCCCCCCCCCCCCCCCCCCGGTAGACTCAGCACAGTTTGATGCCAGTCGGGAGCCAGGACAAAGAGAAATGTGGTTGGTGACTGGAGACTTGGGGGTAGCTAGCTGCAGACACTGGAACTCTGACGATGAACACCACCCAAACATTTGCTCTTCGCCCCCAACGCTGGCCTGACTGGCTGGCTGGTTGGCTTTCTTTTCCTCTGTGCCTCTCTCCCCTTCCAATATGTTTCAGCAAGCCCACCCCGGGCCCTTGCAGTTTGCCCAGCCCATTTGGACCAACACATCCAGCCAAAGACCAGCTCGGGATGTTTCTTCCAGGTAAGGCGACTGTCGGTGATGATATTCCCGTGACCAGCCGTGCCGCCTCCTTTCCAAAGACACACGGTTGGACTGGGTTTGATAAACCACATTCAATTTCGCTCTGTGAGATTGGATCGCAAACATGCTGCTGGGCAAAGCTCAGGAGACTCGACTCGGGCTATTGTCCATTGGCGAAGCGCAAACGTGCCTCAAACCACCAAGGAGAGAGTGTGTAGGGCGCAACTTGTGCGATTGTGGCACTGGAAGATGCTTCCCCGAACGAACTTGCATCCGTCCTCTTGTGTGCGTGCTGTGCCACCTTCACCTTGCCTTGCCTTGCCTTGCCTCCCAATTATTTCAATAGAGCGCTTGTCGCATGCTAATTATCGATAGACTCACCTTGTTGCCCTGGCACCCTGCCCGCCCGCACTGGTTGGTTGACAAAGTTTCAAGTTCCATTCCGAGCCGAAGGGCAGCGTTACTAGCGCTGACCGGCTGGGGGATGCGTGGGAAGCTTTTCGGCGCCAGTGCCTTGCAGATCGCTTGCGACTCTGCTAGTCTCGATTGATTGGCAGTCCAACCCTGGTTTCCCGATGCAGTCCACCAGCCACCACGCTGTAAGACAAGGTCTTATTGGGCCCTGGCCCTGGACCGCCTCTTCCAAAGGCTGATGAGCGCTAGCAAGCTCGAGCGAGAGAGTACGGATATTCAGTTCAGGGCAGCGTAGAGTGGGATTGTTCTGATACCCGGTTGTGTAGGACCATCAGAGATGCGCCAACCTTTGGCGGTGTTTCGAAAAGGGTGCAGCTGTCAGCTGCAGAGCGTTCTCGCCGCGTGGAAAGGGTTTCCTTATTCGTAGCCAAGCTTGGGTCGAACACCACTCCTAGAGTTGAGAGTCTCTCTTTCTATGACCTGAGCCTGCCTGCTCATCCTATCCTGTCCACCTCGCAACACCTTTTCGTCATGCAGCAGTGACGGCTATCGTCCCGTTTGCGCGATCGGCACCTCTGTGCCATCGTCGTCAGAACGTTCTCTCTGCCGACATGACGAAAGATCAACGCTTGGTGTGGACGTGGGTACCTACCTCACGCAGAGGAGGAGAGATATGTCTCTTCTGGAAGGTGCGTCTTCGGGGATGCACAAAGGACAGGTCAAAGGTCTGTTCACCTTTTCTGAGAGCTTCCGTGTACTGCCAGCGTTTCAAGAGAAACAAAATCTGGTGATGCCAAAAGTTTGGCGATTTCGTATCGTTCCGTTCGGAGGTGGACCACCCGTCTGGGTCCAAAGTTGTTGTTTCAGCTTGTCATGTCACTGCCCAAGCGATGAACACATTGGCGGCCCTGCCGTTTGGCTGCTTTGCCAGCTTGATCCCAGACTAGGCAACATATACCGCCCAGTCATCCTCTTATCAGGCGAACTGCTGCCCACTGGTCCTGTCACTGTTCGGTGACAAACGGCCGTCTCTTGGCATTCGATCTTTGAGGTTTAAGCTTCTTCCACATCGATGCACCGTTTTCTCCACAACCTGGTGGGCTAGAACCGTTCGGACTTTGAGTAGAGCCTCCAGTTGATTGTGGATAATAGCACAGAACACCGTTCCTAAGGTGTCAGGTGACAATTTAGCACGTCTAGCTCAGACTGGCCTCGGGCTCGACTCTTCATTCCGCTAGACCTGGTGTCATCTTGTGCGGCTCTTCCATACCATTTCCCAATCGAAGCAGATGCGCTTGGAAATCCCATTGTCTATTTTCTCCAGCAGCGTTCGTATTGCCCAAGGTCGGGGTAGGGAACGTGTTTCAGGCTTCAGGGTTCTGAGCAGACGAAACCTTTGGGGGCCGACTTTGCCTATCGTGAAAGTCTATGTGGGACGGCAAGGACGGCCATGTCGGATCCTTTCGGCTAGGAACCTGAGGCGGCTAACTACTGTAGTTCGCCGGCAGAGCTTCGTATTTTCCAAAACCCTGGTTGATCGGGGTTGGGTCTGCTGCGATCTCGCGGGGACGATCCGATGCACCTCGAAATCCGGGAAGGACCATATCCGTCCAAATTCGGCGACACAAGCAGAAATTCTTAGACAGCCAGTATAGTGGTGCAGAGGGAATATGTCGATCTTGAATCTTAAGCTGCTTTAGTGTGAAAACGAACATGTGTGCGGAATAGGCAGGATGATTGAGTTGCAGAGGAGAGGCCTGGGCATAGATTTGCGAGCGGCCCCACCCACGCCGGCAAGTGGCCGGACGGATTGAAACCAATGTGATCTCGGCCGACCTTTCTTCCGTTCCGTGCGTGGCTGATGCGTGGCTGCGTCCGAGTGTGGCTGCAGCTTCAAAACCTGGTTAGTCAGGCAAGGCTACTGGACGTCACCGAACTGGTGTGGAGCTCGGCGACATAGGTAGCAACAGCAACAGCCTCGACCATCGCGACCGCTATCAACGAGGCCTGCCACACTCATCACGACGCAACGATTACGCACTCTTGCTCCATCGAACGCATAGTCAAGAATACAGGCCTCCGCCGCACAACGTCAATATGAAGCCCGTCGTTGGTGCCATGCAAGCATGGCAATGGTACGCCTTCCCCCGATGCAGGACCCCCTTTGAGCCAAGCTCCCGAATACTAATTCGTCCACGTTCGATAGCACTGTCATCTCCGTTTTCGCGATTGTCATCCTCGGCGTCCTCGGCATTCTTTTCAAGCAAAACCACCCCGAGCTCGTCGGCAGTGAGGAGGACCCCAAGGATGGTAGCGCTGTTGCGGGCACCATCTTCGTTTCTGTCATGATCTACGTCGTACGTCACACGCTTTATTCCGCGCATATCAGCGAGAAGGAGACTTTTGATGTATAAGATTGCTAACTGGCTATAACTAGGGGTTCTTCGTTTTCTGCGGCCTGCAAGGCCTTCTCCACGTCCGGGAGAATCGACGAGGCGCGATCGCATTGTAATGATACGAAAGGAGAAGGGTGGTTATTGGAATGTGCAGAGCATGGCATCAAAAACACATTATGGTTTTCCTGGCGTTTGGCATCACGTTGTTGAAATTTTGTAGGGCACAGCTCAGGCACCCGCCTCTGACTTCGACGGGCTTCCCGAGCCGAATGAGAGGAAGGGGTTTAGTTCTGTTGAGGAGAGCTTTGGTTCAGATCCCGAGCTTGTAGTTATTAGCATATCGCTACGAAAGAGCAGAAGGGGGCTTGTTGTTGTTGTATTGTTTGACGTCGGTGAGTTCTGTAGGCATAGGGCGTTCGCGTCGTCACCTAGCTGTAACAATTTCTCTAGATACAAGATCATTGATATCAAATGTCCCACCACGCTGATAGACAATCCTGCATTGATCCTCGATGTTGAATTGGGAAACCGCTAATGTAGGAGTAGAAGGGGGAGCATGGCCGGACGCCCAAGCAGTTAGAAGTTACTGTACGTGGTGATCAATACCATCCAAGCCGGAATGCCTCCCGCCCGCTCTCGACATCATGCCAACTCATCCGTAGGCAGCCGCACCTTCGGAAAAGTTCCTAGAGATGCAGATCGCCGGACGCCGGGGCTGAGGCAGCTTGACCGGGGCAGGCCGCAGACCGACCAAACGGGCTGGGAAAGAAACTCAAGCAAACTTTTTCTTCTGGGCCGAACCATTCGTACGTCCTTACAAAAAGACGGTTTAGTGATGATCCCGAGTGGGCAGGGCCAATCATGACGAGTTTTAGAGCCCCATCCTGTGGCTCCTTTGACGTAGTTTTCCCTTTTTTCTCCCAAAGGATCCGAGGAACCGACACCGAAAACTCGGTGTCGCCGCTTCCGCTAGCTTGAAAAGCCAATTTGGACTTTGTTCGGACTCCGGAGCGGGAGGGGGGAGGGGAATGGATGGGCGGAGAACTTTCCGAAGCGTGCGTGCCAGCTCGAGGCGAAGTACGAATGGTGCAGAATTCTGAAGAACAGCCACAGCAGCATATCAAATGGAGCATAATCTCCAATTCAGTCACTCCTCCACGCGCGTGCGGCTACTAATAATAATATGTGCCTGAACTGTTGTTAGAAACCGAGCTTGTGACTGGCTGGCAGCTCGGTAGAGTTATCATTACGTAGGATCATCAAAATTGTCTCCGTCGCCCATATATCTGGGAAATCCGGGGTAATGCTCTGCTAGTCATCCCGCGGGTATCAACTCCAGTATAACAAGTCTACGGGTACTCTCGAGATTTCTCATCTGATATCTACGACCGTCAGGCGAGGAGATGGAATGAGGCAAGACCCAACTTAAGCTCCTTCTCCTTTGGTTCTTTCACCAAACGCATCGGGCGAGATGGTCGAGGGGTTCATGAGGGAGGACCAGAGTGTAGAGCTCAGTCTCCTCGACCACTGAACTTGGAAGAGCAAAGAACAGCGCAAAGGAATGCACAACACTGGAAAGTGCAAAGCTGCTTAGGCAAACAAATTTTTACGCCCCAGCTTTTACTTACACAGCTCGCTAGGCCTTCGCCTTCGCTTTTCGGGCTTGCAAAATTCGCGCAGTTGCCAAGCGACTACCAACACTGCCGCCCCGGCCTAGAACCACCATATGGCACATTCCATGGCCGCCCCGGACGAAGGCGAAGCGGACCTGGCCATATGAATTGCGCAATCCCGAGGCACTGCCAATAGAGGAAAACAGGGCCAGCCGCCAAACGGGGGGGTTCAAGTCAAGTGTTCACGAGTTGATCGAATGACGCCTTCTGCAACCTCACGTATCCGTAATGCAATGCACCCGTGGCCAGAGAGAATGCAAAGAATCCGGGGTAAGACTGACTGCAGCACTGCAGACCCTCTCGACTCCCTACCGCTGGATTCCACATCAAAGAATAATCTCACAAAGGCTTGCGAAGGCCTTTACGATCCCATTTCCTCTAATTGACTTGAAGATGTTGACGAACCAGCCCTGCTCTGCTTTTTGCCGTACTGCTTCATCTTGATTCTCGTCACACCGAATGTGCGTTTCACACTTACACGCAAGGCTAACAAAGACACTGCAAAATGCAAACCCCCTCCCCGCGTGGCTACCATGAGGCACGAAGCGAGCGGCTGAAGAATTGCCATCAAGTGACTCGAATTCTGAAGCCAAAAGCTGCAATGGCACCACTCGGGACTTTACCTGTTGTGGCCTCGTACCCTAGCGGGGAGGAGAAAAGCTGTTCGTGCCTGGTCTTATTCAGCGGGTGCGTGGTGTTTTCGACTGGATGTCGTTATTTTCATTACGTTTTAGTTTGTTAACGTTTGCCCCTACACACACATTACCCCCCCTCTCCCATGACTCTCTCCGCCAACGCCTTCGAGGCCTCGTTTCGTTTTTCTCCCCCCCCCGGCTACAGAATTTTTCTGGCTTGGCCCCTCTTCTCCCGCCAGCGCGGTTGAGATGTAAGTTCTCCACCGCTCTAGAGAGGAAGAGAGAGAGAGAGAGAGAGAGAGAGAGAGAGAGAAAATTTATGGAGGAGCACCTGGGCAGATCGGTGGACCAAGAGGCCAACAAGCATGGAAGCTCAAGCAAGGTCGTCGTCGCCGAGGCCGTGCGTGGGCAGCGAACACAGCGTGCACACACCCTGGGGATGGTCGCGTATGTGGAGAAACCAGCCAGCCAAGAGCCTGTTGCAAAAAAGAATGATTGTCCTTGTGATCAACTTTTTTGGCTGGCGCACCCTACGTCAGGCAGGCCAAGGATGACTTGCGCCGTAGTTGGGAAAGGTCGCGCAATAGCTGCTGCTTGCAGCCGAGAATCCCATCCTTGCTCTCCTCCGTGGGAAGGAATGGGAAGCATAGGTAAAACAAAGACTGGACCAGATATTGTGTGCTGCTGTTGTGTGTTCCTTCTCGAGTCCCTATAAAGCTCCTTTGTCCCGTCAGACACCACCCCTCTAGCTCGCCCATTCCTACCATACAGTCATACATACACACGTATAAACCGGAGAATTGAATTCTTGAGAGCAATCACAGAGTCTCACTTTTTGCTTACGGCACCATTCGCATACCAATTCAACCCGACATTCCATCCAAAGAGCGATTGCGCTTAAGACTACCTTAGACGGAACAAAGTACACGAAACACTTCCCGAATCTCACAGAGACGTTTACTGCACACTCCCTCAAACCATACCAAATCCCACCTCACACCCTCAGAAAATGCTTGCCTCACACGGACGCGGCGGCGCCGGCAACATGGCCGACACCTCAAAGTCGCCCAAGATCACCCCCAAGGACCTCGAGACCCCGACTCTAAAGACATCCGTCGTCACCACGGGCCGCGGCGGAAGCGGAAACATGGCCAAGAACGCCGACCCTTACGAGACTCGTTTGCGCCAGGACGTTGAGGGGTAAGCTTATTCCCAATTGGATGTTACGAGAGAAGAAAAACAGAGAGAGAATTGAAAAAGCTGACAATTGAGGTCTTCAGTGTCCCACGACGCGAGAGTGCCGGCGCATCTCACTTTGGACGCGGCGGTTCCGCCAACGTCTTCAAGGGTTCACCCGAAGAGGAGGCCGCGGCGAAGAAGGCCAAGGCCGAGGGCGCGAGCGCCGTCGACGACGACGATTCTTCTTCTACCCTCCGCAAGAGCAAGAGCCCGTCGCCGCGCCGCAGTTCCGAGGAGAACGCCAACGGTCTCGCCGCTAAGGGCAAGCAATGGTTCAACAACCTGACCAAGAAGGCATAAAGCCCTCTCGTCTGCTTCTCTTCTCTTCTCTTCTCTCTCTTTTGATCTCGCGCCTCGATTCGGGGCGGGGTTTACGTCTACAATGTATCTCTTCTCGGTATGAGGAGTCATTAGCAATGGCGTATTGTTGAATTGGTGATCACGCTTGGACGCCATAGGGTGTTGAAGCCTTTTTCATCGTTTCTGCGACTCGAATGTCCACAAGGACTATATCTGCCTCGGGGCATCATTGTACAGCCCTTTTGGCGACGGAGTTTCATGGACCGGGGAATTTTTTTTCGGAGGCAAACTAGAGTGTTGCCAATGGCCAGCGACTTTTGTTTGAAAATGTTGAAACGACACAAAAAAAGTTCTTGATACCACGGTTTGATATGATTCAAGGGCAATTGGGATACGGGATGGAAAAGCATAATGGAATCTTTACTTTTATTCATTCAACTGCTCGTGCTTAAGATCACTGCATGTCTTGGACCATAAGTTTCTTCTAACTTACACTGAAGCGCAAGATGAAGCCATGAGACTTGAAGTTGTCATCGTAACGATTTTGTTTCCCTTTACTCATGAGTTTTCTCAGAGGGTTTTGATTCGACAAAGATTCCTCTAGTGCACTACCGTCTTTAGGATGACGCCTTGGAGCATTGATGCTCTGTCACTGCACTTCACTCCTTTTTCAATACGCCTTGTAGTTTGTGATTTGATACTTGAATGTCCACTTTTTTTCAATCATCATCTGCAGCTCTTGGTTCTCATCTACTATCCACCGACTCACTGCCTGCTTAGTTCTTCGTCAAACGGTGGATTTCCGACAGATAGAATCGAAGGTCCTCAGGGTTGACGCCCGGGGTGATGCCTAGTATCGCATTGTTAACCTTGTTCCTTTTCCCCTACAAAATACAGTGAACAGAAATGACCGCATCGACTTACCGTGGCCGAGGTTTGCAATCCATCCCTTCTTTCCGTTACCGTAGAAGCCCTTGACCATGATCTCGACGGCCTCCGTCATACGCTCGTGGGTACCGTACAGAACGCCAGGGTCGGCGTTGCCCTGGAAAGCAACGCGCCTGTCGCCGCGAATCTTGACAGCCTCGGCGGGGTCTTGGAGCCAGTCAAGACCGATGACGTCGTAGCCAATGTCAATGACGGAGTCGAGAGCGTGCCAGGCGCCCTTGGGGAAGACGGTCATGGGCACGCGCTCCAGATTCATCTCGGCGAGCTTCTTGGGCAGGTTCTCGGAGATGTAGGACAGGTACGGCTGGCTGAACTCCTTAAAGGCCTCGGGACCGAGCTCGCCGGCCCACGAGTCAAAGACCATGATCATCTGGGCGCCGGCCTTGACCTGCAGGGCGAGGTACTCGACGCAGACCTCGGCAATCTTTTGCAGGAGCGCCTTGGACTCCTCGGCGTAGCGGTAGATCCACGTCTTGCTCTGCATGAAGAGCTTGGTGCCGCCGCCCTCGACCATGTAGCAGAAGAGCGTCCAGGGGGCGCCGCAGAAGCCGATGAGGGGCACGCGGCCGGCGAGCTTCTTGCGGGTGAGGGTGATTGCCTTGTAGACGTAGTCGAGCTCCGAGGCGACGTCGACGTTCTTGGCCAGGACCTTTTCGTACTGCCCGTCGGTCGGGGTCTTGAGCGGCTCGGGGAAGTGGGGGCCCTTCTTGTCGACCATCTCGACGGTCATGCCGAGGGCCTGAGGCACGACGAGGATGTCGGAGAAGATGATGGCGGCGTCGAGGAGGCCGGCGAAGCGCTCGATCGGCTGCAGGGTTAGGGTGCTGGCGACCTCGGGGTCACGGCAGCAGGCAAAGAAGTCGCGGGTGCCCTTGGCTTCGTGGTACTCGGGGAGGTAGCGGCCGGCTTGTATTCAGGTGTCAGGAATCGGCTGTTCATTTTGTTCATGTCCTGTTTCTTAGGATGGAGCAAGGGGAAATTCGGCATTACCTTGACGCATGATCCAGCATGGCGGGCGCTCGACCGTCTCGCCTGAATTGAAGAGGTCAGCATCCGACTAGAGGCATGGAATTGGGGGGTTGATACTCACCTCTTGCTGCCCGCAAGAGCAGGTCATTCTTCAATGGCTCAAATGTCAACTCCATCTTGTCGGCCTGCTGTGGGATTGAAGATGCTGATGACGGTGTTGGAGATGCCGTTATGCGGATCATCCAAAAGTGCCCCGCGGTTCGGTCGCTGCAAAACCCCGCCAAAGCTTCAGGTCCCCCCCGTCCACCGCTTTCTGTGCGCCACTGCCGACCTGCACGTCGCCGAGGTAGCCGGTCCGGGAGGTACACCAGCCACATTGGGGCTTGACTCCGACTTGGAGGTGGGCCCGCAATCCAAAGCTCTTTCGACCTCCCTGGCAATCTCCATATGTCGCTTCTCTTCAAACAGCTCCGAATCAGCCTCCGTCGAATCAAAACGAGCCAATTGGCAATACCCACCCGGGTCTAAACACGAAAAAGCAGCTTCACGACGTGAACGACGATGCCATAGTTCGAGCACGATCAATAGATAACCCTCCGCGCCATTGCCCTTCGATCCCTTCGCGACGAGGGCCTCAATGCCGCCGTCACGACCAACCGTCCGATGCTGCCGGGCCGTCCAGCAACAGCTTCAAGCTTCGCCCGACCACGTTTGGATCACGGATGGTCTGCTGGCGAGCGCCTTTGAGCGCTACTGCCACGTATCACGCCTCACGCGACGGAAGTCGAGCTCTGTGCCCGGCCCGCTGGAGAATCGAAGACGACTGGGCAAGAGGAGGATGGCAGAAATGCACATGGACGGACATTCGACCCTGCCTCCCTGGGCCATTGAGTTCCCGGTCGATCTGAGTCAATGGAAGTGGCAACCGCCGACACTACGTACATCAAAGGACCAGAGGGATGATCTACAGAGCCAGCAAAGTCAATCTCTGCTATCTCGCGTTTACAGATGGTCGGTGTCAGAACAGCAGATGAAAGAGGAGGAGGGAGATCGGAATGCCATTGAGAATCCGCCAGCCTCCACTTTCGACGACCGGCTGTCTCAAGCCCGAGCCGCCGTTGCGGCTTCGACACAGAACGCGATCGACTTAGGTTACTACGACTTTATCGAGGGGCTCCAGAAGGACCTCAAATTGGGTGCCCTCGATCCCGGGGCCGTGGCCTCGGCTGTTTCGAAATTCCCCGAGTCTTTGATCGGTACAAGCGCTGACGGCGAGACGGTCAGCACAGCCATTGAGCTGTTTCTTTCGGCCGTTGTCAACGGAATCGCAACCTCCAAAGTTTTGGGCCCGGCAGAGTTTGATGCGAGCTTTTGGAATCTTGTGCTGAATCGGACGTCTCAGCTGGGGGCCAATGACGCGACGATTCTCCTGTTCCGGGCTACGCTCGATGCGGTCCCTCGCTCCTATATCAACGATGTCCACGAGGGCATCATTGCGGCAGTGCAAACGCTAGCCGTGTCTCAGTCGACGGGGCGCAGACGGGCCGCGGATATTGGCGGCGTGCTCCGCGAATTATCACCCGATGACCACGGCGTACTTCTTGAGGGGATCGAAAACGCAGTCTACGATGGTTCGGCAGTCTTTGAGGAGAGAGCCCGCCAAAAACTTCACTTCCTTTGGCTGCAGGTCTTGGCACACATGCCGCGGGTCGACTCCGCCTATCTTTTCGACGCTTGCGTCAGGTCCAAATACTTTGACCGCGAGCTGCCCTGGCACGACCACCGAGACCTCAGCCAGCTCGTCCTCCAGCAGTGGACTAGCCGCGGGTACCTAGGCGACCACGAGGCTGTCAGAGCATTCTGGGATTGCGAATCTTCCCGACATGCAAGTTCGAGCCTTGCTGCTCTGGTAGCCGGTATCTGCGAAATCGAGCACGACAAACCGAAGCATCAAAGGAGGGAGCATGTGTGGCTCATCAAAAACCTCATGAAGCTACTGAGACGCTTCGATCGCCAGGACCAGCTGGTCGTCTCAATGGAGCGCTTTGCGGAAACCAGAGATACGATACCTGTCATGCCGTTCATGCGAGTCGCTTCAGCCAGTCACGACTACAAGACGGCTCTCAGGCTGAGGTCGATTTTGCTCTCTCACGAGAAGAAGCTCGAGTGCCGAATCGAGTCGCAGTGGCATTGGACGGCTTGGGTGCCCTACATCAAATCCATGATTAGAGACGAATCGGTCTCATCCTGGGACATTTGGTGGGCAGTCCACTGCGGAGACGGCAAGATGAAGGGATACGCAGCCAAACGGCACGATCTCTGGGTCAGGAGGAAAGCTCTCATGGAAGACATGGCAATGTGGTTCGCGAGCGCGACGAACAGGTCAGAGAGGAGCACGTTTCGGGACATGTCAAAGTGCATCAACTGGCTCCGGAACAACAAGGTGCCACTCAGCGACCGGTCGATAGCGGCCGTCGCCAAGGTGGCCACGCGGGAGCTCAAGAGGGGCGAGTTCGGGCGGACGCAACGCCTGCTCTGGTTGATGGATGTTATAGGACGGGCCAAGGGACCTGAGCAAAGAGCCCTCGTCGCTCGGGTGCTGCAACGGTGGAGGCAGGCCAATTCTGAGCTAGAGAGGAAGAGGTGCCGAGAGGCTGAACGGGTGCCGGACGCTGAACGGATCAGAGAGGCGATTAGGGCTCCGGAAAGGAGTGAGTGGTAGATGGCTAGGTTGTTTGGAGGGGAGAGAATAAAACACACCCACACACGCCCACACACATACACATTCAAAGATGAAGTCATTTAGTCACGGCAATAAAGACGTGAAAGGGGGCGGGGGCGACGTGTAGCGTGCCCCGTGGTGCTTGGATGAATGAGGGTGATTTACGTGGACGTGTGAGTAGGTGGTGAGACAGAAGGCAAGTACCCAAGGCAATTCATTACCCATTCTTCAACAGCAAAGAAGGCGGCACGGCCCAGAGCGATTGGAATTCTGCAATGGGAGATAGAGAGGAGAGACAGGGTCCCTTGTTTCGTATCGCGGGAGCTGACCCGATTTCGTCTTTGCCACGAGGGAAAATGACCCTACAGCAGCCGCAGCACGAACGCTGGAATGTAAAGGCAACGCGGGCTCCAACGGAGACGACGCCGCACGGCATTCCATTGGCACCCTTTTCGACGGCTTACGGGCTCTCGGCCGGGTCGCAAGGTTGATGGGAGCGTGTGAGTGTGTGAGTGTGTCGACTGGCCGCATGCGTACAGAAAAGATTCATGATGGTGTGCGGGTGGGTACACACACGTTTCCCTTCCGGTCCTCGAAACCGAGAAAGTCGCGAAGTCACGAAAGTCTCGTGCATGTTTTCCTTTGTTGAAATGGATGAGACAGGGTTATTCATCTAGTTGCTCGAAAAAAAACCTTGATTTGTTTCCCCATTGTTCGCTGTTGTAAAATGGTTGAATTCCAGATTTGTTTGGATTCATGAAATTTGGCCCTTTCACGTTTTGGGTGTTGGTTTGTCTCTCGTTGCCGGTGGTTGTGTTTGTTCTTGCGGGCGGCGCATAAGGCACCTAGGTAGGTTGGATTTTGGTGGGCTTGTAGTTCGTTCGGCGCCGCCCGGTTGACTGACACTTCACCCCCGGGACGGACGGGAGGCGGAGGGAAAATCATAGTCATTTGCGGCCCACGAAACGGGGAACGCGGCCGGATGACTGAAGCTAGGCGAGTTGGATGGGCTCAGAGAGGGTGAGAGGCACCTACCGTAGGCAGCTAGGTAGGGTGGCGGTGAAGAAGAACTCGAGGGGGCGAAAGCTTTGCGAAAGAGTAGATCATGTATTCCGTACCTTACATTAGGGTCCTTTTCCAGTCCAGGTACACATGCTGGGTAGTAGCAGAAAGGGTTCGACATTGGGTGAAAGAGCGAGGTAGACTCTAGCGTCAAGGAAACGGGCAAAGTTTGTTAGTGGACGGGTAGCCGGAATATTCGGGTGAGAGGGGGTGGACCGATGAGAGATGGATGGATGGGATGGATAGAAAGAGACAGAGAGAGAGAGAGAGATTGTGAGCGTGACAGGCGATGATGATGATGCTGCTGCTGCATTTGGGTCCGCGTTAACCATTTGAGGCTCCCATTTCGCCAGGTCGGGGAGTGGAGCACGTATCGTCTGTGAATGAAGAGTTGAAGAGAAACGAAGACGATGATGGGAGGTCTGGAATGCGTGGAAGATGGATGGAAGCGCCATCGTTGATTAGGTTTGGTCCCTTGTGGAGCACTCACTGGAGCTACCTACCTTAGCTACGCAGCACGCAGCATGGTGCTATGGGGTATTATTACGGACTCGAGAAGGGACTGACTTGCGACACCTGCGGATGGGGAATGAGAGGAGGGGCGACGTATCTGCATGGCATTCGACTCTTTCTCAATGGATGGATTCGGGGCAGCTCATGCCCAAATGGTAACATTTGTTGGACAATTTTTTTGCTCATCGAGGTGGGGGGTTTGACTGGCGGCGGAGGCGGGCACTGCGGGCAGAGAGATTGAGGATCCAAGATGTGATGGGCAGGGGGAGGTGAGGGGGGGAGGTCCGGAGGATGCTGCAACTTCTTGGAGCTAATAGAACCTGCCCTGGAAAGTGCATGCTCCGTACGGTTACTCCATATAGACGAAGGCAGCGGCAGCAAGAGATATGAATACATACATAGTACAGGGCAGGGAAGAGAAGGGTTCGGCCGAGGCATAACTGGCGTGCCCCTTCCATCTCCCCCAACTGTCCCTCTTGATTACGTGCAGCAAAGATGAGCACGCAAAAAGAAAGCAAAGGAAAGCGAGATGGGAGGGCCGTGTCCAGTCAGAGGGCGCAGACGGCGTCGGTTCGCGACTGATGACATCGAACTCGACTGACATTTGCCGTAGGCCCGTTGAGGCGACATTAGCCTCCTCCGACCTTAATATGACCTTTGCTCAGACCAAACGTGGCACGCGTGGTTGGGGGCATGGTAAGGTAGCATGGGGGGCCCGCCGTCTATCAATCCATTAGACTCAAGTGAGAGACTCAGACTCAGACTCGGATTCAGACTCAGGGTTCAGAGGCCAGCGTGGATGCGAGATTAGAGTTGGGCAATAGAAACATACAAAAGTAACAAAAGCGCGCGACGGATATCCCGTAGGTACCTATGTGCGATGATGAACGAAAGCAAAAGAACCCCGCACGTTGAACAGCGTCGTCCCATTCGCTTCTCTTGATCCAAAGACACACATCACTGGCCTCAGTATAGGTATCCGTAACAGTTGAGTGATAGACAAGCCGTGAGACAGGGCAGGCGCGGGACAGGCTGCGGCATGGCCACGGGATGGCGGCATCCTCGTAGGTAGGTACCTTAGCATGGCGTAGCTACAACGTATTACTAACCGTACACACACGCCGTACGGATAGTACCGTAGCAAGAGAGACAGAAAGAGAAGGAGAGAAAGATGGAGACGTTCCGGACGGATTGGAACGCCGACGCCAGCTTCTCCCGTCGGCAGCTAAGGTAGGCAAGGTCGAGGGAACGGCAGCTCAAAAGACATGTATTGCTAGTACTCCATACCTTACTCCGTATACATCTGAGTAGGTAAAGGAAGAGAGACACATCCGTAAAGAGAGAAAGAGCTTATCTACTTCTGGCTCCCGTGGGAGATTATCGTACTTGAGGGTTCAGAGGTTTCGTAAAGGCAATGGAAGCTGTCTCTCTCTCAAGAGGTACCCACCAGTATTGTGCGCAGATTAGCGAAGAGGCGCCCTGAACATGTTGCGTGATGTTGCGATGAACTATTCCCTCCCGGGAGGTGTGTCTTGGGCAAAGAGAAAGGGCCCAGGGGTGCCAAACCCCCGCATGCGGAAGTACCCGGTACCTGCGGCGGGTCACCTTGCCCACTTCGCACATGCGAACCGGCCCAGCAGGTCTCGCCTGCTCCGTCCACTGTCTGCTGTACCATACCTTAGGCCGTGTCTGCGCTGGACGTCTACCTCATGTACTGCCTTACGCTGTTCGCTGAGGAGGTGAGGTGAGCCAAGGGGATCGTACCTAAGGTAGGTACGGACACTCAGCGAAGGTTCGGCCACCACTGAGAGAACCTCTCACCCGGTAAGAGCCTACAGACGCGAGAGACTCGGACGGGAGAGGGATGCTTCCCATCCCCCACCCCCTCTTTGTTAAGGCCGGTCAATGTACCAAGTACCACAGACTTTGCCTTGCGGGACGGTCGTTCTGGGCCACCTCAGTTCATCCTGCTCTGCTCCACTCCACACACCTTTCTCACTCTCACTCACACTCTCTCTCTCACTCTCACTCCCTCTTTCGATCCTGTCCCGTCCCATGCCACCACCCCATCCTCCCCTCCCGCAACAGTTACAAGCTTCCTTCGTTTCGTGTCTTGCTCTGCTTGTTCTACTTCTTGTTCTCTTCTTCTTTTCCATGTCACCCGTTCCCACGTTTGTCTCTTCCTTTCTCTCTCTTTTACCTCAAGGTAGCTTCCGTTGGACACGCCCCTCCACCCCTCCTCCCTCTTCGTCTTCTTCTTGTCCGTTGTTGGATACGGCGTGACACAAATCAAGTTCAACCCAGGCCTAATCGAGGATCCCTCTTCTTCGCCGTCCTCCGCTACTTTACCGGCGTCTATGTGAGAGGGTGAGAGAAAGAGGAGAAAGCTGTACCCGTACGTGGATGGCACTTACATAGACTTGCGTGCGCCCACCCCGATTGTCCTCTTCTCACACACTTGGTTTCTCGCTCGCCTACTCGTCCACCCAACCAACCACCACCTACCCTTCTTACTAGGATTAGTCGTCCACAACCGCAAACCACATCACAACCGGGAACAAGGTCCAGGAACCAGGGACCAGATAAAATCAACTCTCGCATGTCCGCCCGCTCCTTCACAATCTCCGTCAACGGCTACCCGGCTCGCACCGTAGGCTGT